GTTGGACACCGCTATAAACCTGTGAAGGATCCCTGTAGCCGTGTTATTGTTATAGTACTGCTGTTAAGAAGGCCACGATACTGTAACAATAGTAACTGCCAAATTTTTAATTTTTAATAATAAGCATTAACCAATAAAATTGCTAGCACATGACTTGTACTAAATATAATTGGTTAATTACTTTGCGCTAAATTTCTGCTTTACTAATAAAATTACCAAACTTTAATCCCTTATAACTTTTGTAAAAAGTAAGATATTAACAATCTGTTTTATAGATTTATAGTTTAGGTTACAAAAATAAATTTGTAAAAGGGATTTTTAAAATAATTATTTGTTATAAAGTTATCAGACATTTAACAATTGCTAAAAAATTAGATGTTTTTTGCTGTCCCGCACTGTATTTATTTAAAACTTCCCTTAGGGATATGACTTTCGCATTATTTTTATTCCTAGTTTTGAGTAATAATGTCATGCAGTACCTTATTAAAAAAAGAGGGTTATAAATTATACCAATTATGACGATTGTGCAGTTTTTAATTTACAAATGATAAGTATATGTTAATTTTAAGTGGGAGTATAGAAATTTTGTATGTAACGTTGTGCGTACATACGTACGGGTTAGGGTTAAGTATCTGGTATTGTTATTACAGTATTAGTTAACAATACCAAACCATTTTCGTAAACTATATTAAACAATGCGATATTGAGGAAAATAGTGTGACGCGTAATAGACCAATCAAATTTCAACTTTGATCAACCCGAAAAAACAAGCGGAAACAAAAAAAAAAAACGCGAAATAATGCTTAAAGATATTTTAAAAAAATACCGGCGAGATAGTTTTATTTATGAGCTCGTTCTATAACATTAAAAATTACGTGTACTTCACGATCTGACGATCTGATTGGTTTATCAACACGATTGTTTTGATTGATCTATGCCCCTATTTTGCTATTGGCTGTTTTGATCTGCTTTATTTACTTATTTAAGATCGGTTTTTCCAAACTCAAATTTTCACCTTTGTTCTGTTTTTTTTTTGTGTGTATTGTTACTAACCGTTATTAATGTATTTTGGTTATTTTTTATTTTAGCCTTTTTTTTTTTTTGTCAAGCTTAGGACACTAACGAGCTTTTCATCGCTGTTCCCAAACTGTTCATTTGAGGAGGGATTCTCTGGTCTTCGGTGGGCCGTAGAGTTGATCCGTACATTTGTCTTTTTAACAGGTCATAACGACTATACTGTTTTTCTAAAAACAGTAACTCGATGTATACATCCTTTATAGGATACAGTTTTAGACTGTTATAAACCTAGCATAGGATACACCTCTACGTGGTAGCTAGGACGAGTATGCTAATTTTGTTAGCTGAAACCAAGTATCCATATTCTATTATTATTATTATTTATAGTTATATAACAAATAATAAAGAATTAATATATATAAATCTTAAGAAATTAATATATGTAAATAATAAAGAATCGATATATATATATATATACAAATAATAAAGAATCAATATCATAAATAATAAAGAATCAATATATATAAATAATAAAAAAATCAATATATATATTTGTTTAATATTATTGAAAAATGAAATATTATAATGCTATTACAGTATTAACTGAATTTTCAAGTTTCGCGTAACCGAAACATTGACACTAATATACAAATTACAATAATTAATATTATTTTATTATATTATTTTTTAAGTTGTATTCACTATACGATTAAAAATAATAGTAATAATAGTATAAGATATATAACCAAATCTAGTGCATAACTAATGTACAACTATAATGAGAATGTATTAGTACCCCATAAAGTTACTTTCCCATCCCAGCCGCAACTAGCAATAATTCCATTCAACAAAGGATGCCAACATACATCAGTACAGGCACCCAGATGTGCGTTTTCTATTACTTTTACAACTTTCGATGATGACCACTCATAAAAGAATATACCACCATTTGCATCTCCTGAAGCTAAAAATCTACCTTGCTCAGGTTCTGGTGAAAAGTTACAACGGATAGGATAACCGTTCACAAGATGGCCTTCAAAGCGCTGTTATTGATGAAAAAAAAACAATGCTTTTTTAGACTCAATAAATTTCATTTATTCTTCTAAATACAATTATATAAGTTTGAAAATCATAACAACCTTCCTCTTATCTAATTTCCATGGCTTTTCACCACCAAAAATGGCGATATAATTTCCATTTGATTGTGCAACAAAGTGCTTATGAAACGGATGGAATCGAAGTGCAGTACAAGAAAATGCTTCTTGATAAATTTGATTAGATATTGTCGTCATCTGTTTTTTTAAAAGGTATAAGTTGAAATACTAATAATTCAGATTTCAAGACATAATATATATATGATAATTACAGAGTCAATTTCCCAAACCATAATATTTTTATCAGACGCGTTTCTGACCACATAATCGGAACAAGTAAGAATGTTATCCCCATTAGGGAAAAATTCAATGTCATTAACACTACCAAAAAATTTTCTAGATTCCTTTATGACTTTATTTGTACGCAAATCCCATGATCGTATTCCATCTTGTAACATTCCTGATACGAAAATATTTGGTTGTGTAGGGTGATAGCGAAGGGCAGTAACAACTTGTGGATGAGGAAACGTCTAATTATTTAATTATATGTTTATTATAATATAATATAATATAATATAATATAATTACAAATTAAAACATAAAAACGGAATGAATTATCTCACCTGTATAGTAACTCCAGTTTCAATATCAAATATCTTTGCAGTTTTATCATATCCACCAGAAAGTATATTATTAAGGTTATTATTCCATTGAATATCTTTCACAGCTCCTATTATTAATAAAACTATGTTATATATTTGTCATTAAAAGATTAAATCTCTGCATAATATCATTTATTACCTTCATGTTTTATAACTCGAACGCACTTCTTTGTTCTAAAAACATCCCAAATTCTGACTGTACAATCCATAGATGCAGATGCCAGTACTTGTCCTTGATTATTAAAATTTATTAACATCAAGCATGCTTTCATCGTAATTAAAACGTTTAAATCCATTACTCACCAAAAGAACCACACCATAATAAAGAAT